CACACAAGGACAAGAACTGACCTCATGTTCAGTTGGATTACTCACATACCTGCTGAGCATGTAAAAAGTTATTCATACCATTTTCAGGCAACCTGCTGGGCCACATCTGCTGTTGTGATTTGCAGAAGGGCAGGCTCAAGATTGACAGCCACTAGGATGAGAGTGGTATGCAAACAGCAAAAGCTATTAAAGCATAGTTTGCATAACCTGGAATTCCCCAAGGAATGCTCCAGCTATCCAAATATTTTCCATGCAAATTCTTCTCCCCATCTTGCATTCTGTCTGACACCAACAGAAATTTGCAACAACTGACAATAATTGGTTACCAAAACTTATCTTATAAAAAAAAATTAACAGAAACAGAGAATCACAAAGCAGTCAACAGTGGACTGAGTCTCTGGATATTTCCAAATACAGCAAGGAACTAGAGCAAGTTGCACAGGTTCATGTCTAGACAGGCTATGATCACCTTCTTCAAGGACAGAGACTCTAGAACCTCTCTGGGTCATCTCTCCTAGAGTATTTGACAAACCTAATCATAAAATAATTACATTTAAAGGAAATTTTCTGTATTTGAGTATGTGAGCATACCTATTGATAAGATTTCCCCTGAGGCTTCTCTTCTCCAGGCTGAAGAACACCAGCTTTCTCAGTCTCACCTCATAAGAGAGAGCCTCCCATTCCTCAATAAGCTTTAGTCACTTGCTGGACCTGCTGAAGTCCATGTCTCTCATACTGGGGAGCCCAGAACCAGACAAAGCACTCCAGATGTGTCACCCCTCAGATTAGAGGGGAAGGATCATCCTTTTGAACGGCCACTAATGCTTCCCTAATACAACCCAGGAAGCCATTGACGTCCCTTGCCTCAAGGGCACATTGCTGCTCATGCTGAGCTTGGTGTCCACCAGTACCTCCAAGGCCTTTTCTGCAAAGTTGCTTTCCAGGCAGTCAGCATTGATACAATCAGCTATTCCTCTCCAGGAGCAGAACCTCATAGGATTCCTGTCAGTCCCTTTTTTCAGCCTTTTGTCTAATTCACACTTCATCAGTTTGTCAAGGAGGATGTTATGGGAGCCTGTGTCAAAAGTCTTACTAAAGTCAAGATAAACCCTTCATTGCTCTTCCCTTAGCCACCAGGCTAGCTCTCTTATCAGGTTCATCATGCATGATTTAACCTTCATAAACCTATACTGACTACTCCTAATCACCTTCTTGTCCTCTAAGTGCTAGGAAACCATTCCTAGGATTATTTGTTCAGTTACTTGCCTGGAACTGACAGAAGGCAAATTACCTGTAATTCCCAAGGTTTGCCTCCTTGGACTTCTTGAAGATAGTAGTGAATCGCCCTCAATTGCTATGACCTTTCAAAGATATTCAAGGATGACCTCACATCAGTATTAAATCAGCTTATTCACCACTCATCAGCATATCCTACCAATTGCTGTGGATTTGGGTACGCCGCATGAAAGTGTTCTATATTCTGATCCTCATCCAGTTGGAGTAAGTCTTCATTGCTTCCAACTTTATCACTGATCACAGTGGCCTCAGATTGCTAAAAGTCAGTTTTGCCAGTAAAGGCCATGATGAAGGCAGTGAATAGTTCAGTCATTTCCCCATTCTTTGCTGAAGATTCTTCTGCTGCACTCAGCAGTGGATCCAGATTTTTTCCTCATATCTGTTTAGAAGCCCTTTTTGTTGCTCTTCATCTCACTTGATAAGATTCTGGGTGGGCTATAGCTTTCCCAATGTTATCCTTTAATGACCAGTGTATGCTTCCTAGATCACCTTTTCCTGCTTCCAGCTCTTCTACATTTTTATACCAAACTGGTTAAATCATGAAGAGACTCAGACTCAATCCTTCCTTCATTTCAGTACACCATGATAAGCAGCATTTGGTTTCAAGTGACTCAGTTCAATTTCCAGGGGATTTCTGGGGGTAAACCCCCAGCAAGGCTTTCTACAAACTTGAAAACCTGACTCCTAGTCAAGGGAACAGCAGTCTTAAATATTTGAGTACACTTGGCTGAAGCACTTTATATTTGATGACCTTCCCTGAATATGTTTTGAAGGTACTTCCCAAACAACATCTCATCTTTTCCTCCTCTCCATTTCCAGGAGATGAGATGGAAGTTGTGCATTGCTAGAACCTATTTCAAGTTTCAAAGTAGGGGGCTAAGCAAGAACAAGTAATAAACATCCTTTAGTGACCACTTCAAATCATAGGGTATTCAATTTTCTATTGTTCTCAATCTTCCATTAAAAAGCCATTATTACCTTTTCATCACAGCAGCTCATTTGGGGCAGGAGCACGGCACATTAGCATTCATGTTGAACAAGACTCCACAAGATGTCATGGAATCCTATCAGGTGATGGTAATTCAGACTCCTAAATTGCATACCTGGTACAGATACAAACTTCTTGTCTTATACTGGACAGTGAAAGGCCTCCTCGTTCTGTTCTTATTCCTCGCTGCTAAAACAGAAGTTGAGGTATATGCACAATTTGCATAACAAGGGAACAAATCCAAGGGTTTAATGATTTTCTGAAGTGTTTTGCAATTCTCCCTAGCAAGGAGTTTACAAAATGCTGCTCTTCTCACTGAAACAAACACCATTTTCAGGATAATTAATTTTTAAAAAAAACTTACTTCCAAAAGTATGAAAGACATTGCACATTCAAGTAATTTATTAATCTGCAGTATTGCATTAAACCATGGCTTTTTCCAGCAGTGGTTTCAAGAGCAGTTGGAAGTCGAGGGTCTTAAAGATGGAAAATAAATATGTTTAGAGGAAAGAAATTAAAGTCTGTAAAGGGTTTTAGGTATTCAGACAGAAAAGCATTATGAAAAAATTCTGCCATACCTAGTCATTTTATGTTAATTATGAGGTAAATATTAATTTCATACACTTGAAAAAGATTGTTTATCCATTCCAAAAGCATAACATCTTTAACAACCTGAGGAGGATTAGCAAACAGCATTTTAACTTCTTAAGTCACTTAGGAAAGCAGGTAAGGCTGAAGAGGTAACCCAAGGGTGGCCTCTGCAAGGAGAGACTGAAGCTGTCCCATGCTGGATACAACTGGTTCCAAAGACCCACTGCAGGGCACAGCTGAGCTCCTCAGCCAAGATCACAGAATCAACTAGGATGGAAAAGACCTTTGAGATCATTGAGTCCAACCCATGAACTAACACCACCTCATAAACTAGACCATGGCACCTCAGAGAAAACATGCAAGGAAGATCCAAACACGGCCTGGCAGTGAGGGGTGAGAAAAAAAGTGTGAGAAACAGCGTTGTACAGAGCACTACGCTCAGAGAAGACAGAGGTGAAGTGAGGAGATGTTGCAGGCACCAGGGCAGAGCCTTCTTTACAGCCCCTGTGCTTCCATGGTGGATGAGGTAAACTGACTGATGGCCTGCGAAACACACCCTGGCTGCTTTCCCTCCTCAACAGGATGGAGCAGAAAAGCAAAGATGTAATATCTTGCTGGTCAAGATAAATAAGTAGTGATAAAACTGGGACTGGATGTTACCACAGAGGGGTACGACTACAGGGAATCTTTTGTGGTTATAAAGCAGTGAAGGGCCAAGGGGTGTAGTAGTGTTGTATGCATAAATTTTTAACCTTTGTCAGTGTTGTGGTGACATTTTGTTTTAAGTGTGGGGATTTACACACACACACACCACCAGCCCTTCAAGATAATGACAGTTTAATAAGCAAAGCAAAAGCTGCATATGCAAGTAAATCAAAATAAGGAATTTATTTACTGCCTCCCATTAGCAGGCAGACATCCAGCCACGTCTTGGAAAGCAGGGCCTCAGCATGGATAACCATTATGTGGGAAGACACCATCATGAATGCCTCTACTCACTTCTCCCTCTTCTTCATCCTTTCCCTGAGCTTTACTGCCAACCCCATCATAGAGCAGGAACATCCCTTTAGTCAGATCAGATCAGCTGTCCCAATTATGTCATCTCCCAACCTCATGCAGACCCCCAGGCTTGCTGGCCTTGGGCAAGGCTTGGAGCAAATGCTTTTACGCTGAGCAAGGGCTGTTGTGAATAAAGTCATCAACAACTCAGCCAGACCCAAGATCATCCCCACCCCTTATTTCATGCTATTTGTATTATGCTCAGGTCCTATATTACATTTAATTAATCTCTGACTATCCCATCCCTTCTCTTTATCATTCCTGATATCCTTCCATACCAACACAACATGTTCTCCATAAATACACCATACACTTTGCACCCATCAATCACAACTATATTTCCTTATTAACTAATATCCTCTGTCCTTTCACAGAAGCCAAAGCCAATTCTCCACACTGCCATAGCTGGCTAATAAACTGTTTCATTTAGACTTCAAAGCATAGAAAGGTCTTAATAAAGAATAAGCTGTACAAGTCACTGGTTTGAAAGACAAAATGCTAGACAAAATTATCTAATATGCCTTGCCTTCAAGTGTACATGCACATAAGGCTGTAAAATCTAAAGGTGCCATTCAGTCCTTCATAGAAGTCTTTGCAACCACTGAAAATGCCTTCATCTCACTGTATTCTGAGAAATAAGTTTATCTCAGGAAGCAGCACAAAACACTTTCACTTTAGACTTTTCCATCTGTATTTTCTACATGATGATGCACCAGTTACCTTTGTTACTTTTATCTCTGTTTTCCAACTAAGCCATTATCATTGTTAGATAAACCTGTATGCTTACTGAAGGCTGTTATTAATAGTCACCACTATCCAAGCAGCAAAACCAGATGAGAGCAAGAAATATCCAAATTAAACACAACCTTTAAGTGTCTGTTCTCTCATTTTCATCTTCTCCTGCTAAACAGAGATAAATAATGTATCATACTACTATCAGTTCCTATTTTTATGTTACAGAGAACTGACTGCACTCACAGACATTTAAGCCAATCTTGTCTTTGCTAAGACTGGGCAAGGAAAATAGTATTGGTTAAAAGCTGTGCATACAAGGAAAGGCTCTTACCAGCATTAGCCCAGGGAAGATACCAGGGGCAGCTCACATTCACATAGGTGCCAGGCAGTCCATCTGGCCAGCAGGCATAATCATCAAATGTTCTGTTGCAGAACTTGCCTTCTGCAGAGAGAGAGAAGGGAGGCTCATGCCCCTGCCTTGTACTAATACAACAGGAAGGAAAAGACTGCAGAGCAGAATATAAAAGGAAATACAGACACACGCATTTAAGCTCTGATGTGGAATTATATGACATTTATTTATCCAAAAAGTATGTTTATCTTCCCACAGGAAACTGTTGTTTCAGGAAGGAACTAAGGAACAGATTAGGGTCTTACACTGACTCAACAGACAAGAAAATAATGGATTAGTATTAATTTATCTATCATTTTTTTACATCCTTACTTGTCACAGTTTAATTTAAAATAATTCCTACTATGAACACTAAAGATAATTCCTCAGAATAGTTCAAATACATGCAGTTGGAAAGTCTACCCTAATATATAGGTCCACCAATGAAATACCCACATACAACCATAACTTTGCATTACAACTTCATCAACATGAAAATATTTCTACTTCAGATTCATTAAACTATCATTCTTAGAGGGCAGCACTCAACTGCTCAACAGAATGTAGCAGAGGGAGATGAATGTGTCCCTGCCATTGTCATCAGCTACTGCTCTCACTCTGACATAATAATGTAGTTAAGACAAGGAATATTAACAGTTTTGAAAGAATTCTTCACAGGCACACCTTTAGACACATCTTCAGTTTGTCACAACAGCACTGAAGCAGAGGAGAGGCTGCATGGTGTCCAATTGTGAGCATTATTGACAAGTCACCACTTGTCCTCTAAACACCACAATGCTGGCACATCACAAATGCTCTCAGCATATTACAGCAGCTCAAACACTTAAGACAAATTCCTCCTACATTCTCCTTTAGTCACTTGCTTTTTCCAAAACCATTTCAGCATTTTACAAGGCTTGGAATAGCTTATACCAACTTTACAACCCACAATGTGAACAGCATGGTTCCCAGATTTCCTAACACCTTGACACAAAGAAGTTTCAGGTCTATTACATTAGCGACTGTTTGATATGGTACAGCTACCACTTGCCATTGCATAACACTCTGGACCTAAGGACAAACATCTTTACAAGGTAATTGCTCCATAAAACACTTCCCCCCAGTAGAGGGAAGAGCTCCACAGAGAGCAGGCAGGAGCAAATGGGATAAAGAAGCAATGGACCAGAAAGAAGTATTTTCAAATTCATAATCACTGCCTTGCTAGTGCTATCATGCATTTTAAAAAATAACACATCCTATCCCTACCAAATCAGCTTACCTGCCACAATGTGGGGTGTCTCATACAAGTACTTCTGGCACTGGAGCTGATACTCCTTCCATTTCTGCACAACATCAGAGAGGGACCCATCTGAGCTCTGAAAGAAATCACAAGTCTTCAGACACTGCAGGGGTTTAAACTGTAGCATTTTTCATGCAAAGTCAGCAGGTGAGTATGAAAATGACTACAAAAAGCCAGAACAGCACTGCTTATCACAAAGGGCAGACAACAATGCTTGTATTTGCCAAATTTCAACAAAAAAAAAAAAAAAAAAAAAAAAAAAAAAAAAAAAAAAAAAAAAAAAAAAAAAAAAAAAAAACCAAAAACAAAAAAAAACCAAACAAACCCAAAAAAAGCAAAACAAAAAAAACCCCTTCTATGTGCACCACAAGGAAACAAAAACCTCACAAACTATACCATATCCTCACTGAAACCCACATTGAACTAACCTTACTCTCTTAAACATGCCAGTTTTGTGATTTATTATCTTATGAAAAGACAGGGACAACAGTAAGTCCTTTATTAGTAAAGGGGTTTTTTTTCTTCCAACAGCAGTATTTCTGCTTTCCCATAAATGAAAACAAGTTAGTTCACTGTATTCAGTGGATGTTCTCAAGCATTCCACCAAAATGTGCATGAAAGCTTTTGCAGCTTTTTTTTCCCTTTGATGAACAGCTTTTCTCTTCATTCTGCATACTTTTCCTGCAAATGCAGAAAGATGTGGAGCCTCCTTTCTGCACATTTTGACAGGCTGCAGGTTCCACCATCAGCTACCCCAAGTAGGGACAAGGCAGGGGAAAAATATGTACAATCTTGATCTGAGGACAAAGGAACTTGGTTGTTATTAGAGTGAGCAGCTAACTCAGGGCTGGCTGCTCACTGAGCCCTAGCAGATGTCCTACCTGGCTCACAGAGATCTAGTTTTACTCGCTGTACTTGAGTAGAGACATTACTCCTTCTCCCCCCTCTTTGTATTCATATAAACCAAGTTTAAATATCTGGATTAGGAGGCTGTAAGTGATTAACAATGAAAGTAACTCATCCTTCTTTTTCAAAAGAAAGCGCCATGGATGTCTCAGACATACAATCAAAAGCACAAACCTAATGGTTCAACACACTAATACTGCAAGTGGAAGGAAGTTCATTTAATCCCAGATGCCAATCAGTTTATTTAGTGAAGCATGAAAGTAAATAATCCTTGCAGTTTTACCCTCCCAGCTTCAATTGCTAATTTTTATTTTCCATTTGTGCTTCTAAACTTTTTCCAGATGGTTAGAATAAAACCAGAGTATGGGAAGAATAATTTTAAAATGAAGAAGTAATTTTAAAACTCTACTGCATATCAGGAAAGTCAAACTGAATTCTGTCCACTACAGCCAATACAACTAAAATTTAGACACCAGTGCAATCACCTTGGTATAAAAGAACAGAAAAGACCTCTCAAGTCCTCTTCTTTTATATCCTTCCAATTGAAAACCCATTTGAAAATAAATAAAACAAGCACTATATGCATAATGCTTCTGCCTGGATTAATCCAGTACATTTAATTACAAATATGATCTTGCATATGTGATGAAAAGTACAACATTTAGTAGATACCTGTATTTCAAGAGTCAGTACCTATAACTTGTAGCCAGAGCCTCATGGCCATAATTTTAGAAGGATTTAGTCAGCTCCCCCTGAAGTCAAAACAAGCACAAGCCTGTAGATCTTGGAAACTCTGACCCTGTTTGACTGATTTAAATCACCTTATCTATGCCAATAAATGCTACAAAGTCTGTCTCTTGTAAAACAAATGGATTCTAATGAATGGAAAAACAAACCTGTAGCATAGCAATCTATGCTCAACATACCTGAAGGGGAAAGAAAACATCACCTAAAATAAATCTACAGGTGTGTGTAGAGAAACAAATAAACAGTAATTAAATCACCATTTACTTATCCATGTAGGCTGAGTAACAATAGATGACCTGAATACAGGCAGAGAATCAGTTTTCAAACTTAAGTTTCTCCAAGCATCTTTACAAAGTGACTTTTAGGTTATATATCTTTTAGAATCAGAGAATCATTTAAAGGTCTTCATTTTATAAGGGTGGTTAATTGAAGTTACACAAGACTGTTTCACTATCCTCTCATCACTAGGTTAACACTCTATAAAGGAATTAAAAGGAACATTTTCAGGATGAATACTTAAATTAAAATTCAGTATAATTTAAGAAGTTACTAAATATCACATATCTTCCCAAAAAGTAACTATTGATCAAGCATGTTGATGACTACATCCAGTTAATCCAAAGTTAGCTTTTAAAATCAATACAAGATACAGATGCATACAGAGTTTTATTTAGAAACAAGATTCTACCTTTTAAAATATCCTGACAATATCCTAAAAACTGCTTACACTAAGAAAAGTAGCTCTTTTGGAGTCAGGGAGCTTTGAAGGAATTTTTCTAAATCAAGCTTTCATCTGTTGCCTTCATGAATGCAGGAACAACCAGCTTTAATTACAGCTTAAAAGCAAGCCTCTATTCTGTAATTTAATGAAAAAGTAAAAGCATTCTACTTATACTGATTTTTCATCATGTGAGAAGACAACTCTACAAAGGAGACTAGCAAACTATAAAAGTTAAATATTTAGACATGCCTTTCCATGGAGAGCACCTGTTTGGTAGACTGTTTTCTATTATATATAGTTTGTTGCAATAAGACAATAAAATGTAAATTCTAAGACTACATAATTTGTTCTCTCTATGCAACAGTTCACTGTTACTCAGCTAAATACTGTAGTTTGTTGTCTGACAAATGGACTTCAACTTGATTTTAATATATTCTACTTTCCATTTCTCAGAGCTTATGGCCCACACAAACAAGAATCACAAGTTACACAGTGCCACAGATTTACCATATGTGTAGTTATTCAAATATGAGATACTGTATTTTCTTGAGAAGTTATTTAAAGCCTTCTGCAACAAAGTACTAAATGGAAGTATACAAGCCAAGGTTCCTAGGTTAGTACCTAAAATTTGGAGCAAATGGAAAATGCATAGCTTTGTTAAAGCCAGAACTGTTTTCATTGCATTGCATGTAGTTGTGGGTTTACTCCGGGTTATTTCCCTGTTATATTTAACCATGGGTGGAAAAACAGAAGTAGTTTTGCTATGGTGAAAATATATCACAGAAGGATAGCAGAGGAGATGGAAACACAGCTGACTGGTTAAGGTGGAGAAGCTAAAAGGCATGAATGGATGAAAGACATTAAGGAGGTGAGTGATGATGTAGCCTAAGGAGCATGAAACAAATGAAGAAAAATTAGGACAAGTCAAGAGGACAGAGACTGGGAGTCTCTCGATGTATGTATACAATTAAGTGCAATTCATCTCTAGTGAGCACGCTCCAAATTAGCACATTTAACATTCTGCAGTCAGAATTCTTTACAAATCCTTAACACCTTCATAGGAAAGCACTTTCTATAGCCATCATTAGTCTTCACAGGCCCTACTGTAAAAGTAAGTATTTGAATCACTTTTCAACATCTTTGAAACTATTCCTGCTGAAACAAAAAGCAGCATCCACACAGATCCAAGGTGATCAATGCCACAAAAGCAATATTCTAATACAGTGAAATCTGAGCATACAGTGGATAAAGCCTCAAGACAAAATGCACCATGAAATGGAATTAAAGTGAAAAGGAGAGTTCTCAGAGCTTCAGATGCAACTGGTGTTCCCTGGGATTATCTTCTCTCTTCTCCCACCACCACATATAAGGTCTCACATGCAACAGAATGAGAAATTCCTCCTTACAGTTACATTTCTTTTGTCTTTGCTTGTCTGTTTTTTAAACAGGACCACTTACGCTACAACTTTTTCATGTTTTTAGTATTTCAGGATAACAAGCAAGACTTTGCCTTGCTGCTAAAGCCTCACATTACAATCACTGGAACCTTCAAATTGCTAATCTTAATCTTCAAAAGCAAACTATAAGGAACCTGGCATTGAACAACCATTTGGCACAGCCTTGGTATTCTTCACTTGGATAGTAATGCTGTCATATCTACCTTGCAAGAGGAGGAATCAGATTATATCTACTGCCTTTTAGCTCAGAAGGGAATTAGTGAATTACTTTTAAACTTCATGGCCCTTTTTTGAAAAGCCCAAAAGAAGACATTATTTCAATGCTATTCTGCTCAGGATCAGCACAGCAACTAATTCCAAGACAGGTGGAGATTATACATTACAAGCCTTTTGCTCGTTCTGACTTATGACAATTTTTCTGGTATAATACAGATCTTAACAAATCATCAGTTAGGTAACATAAGATAAAGGTTTGCATCAATACACCAGAGCAGAGCAGGATGATCTCCTCCCTTGCATGGCTGGTGATGCTGTGCCTGATGCTCTCAGGACATGCTCAGCCCTCCTGGCTGCCAGGGCACTGCTGATTCATGTTCAGCTTGCTATCAACCAGGAGCCCCACGTTCCTTTCTGTGCCACTGCTTTCCAGCATCTCATTCCCCAGTCTGTCCCTACATCCAGGGTTTCCCCATTCTGGGTGCAGAATCCAGCACTTCCCTTGTTGAACATGTGGTTGGTGATTGCCCAGCCCTCTGATTTGTCGAGGTCTCTCTGCAGGGCCTCTGACTTCAAGAGAGTCAACAGCTCCTCCCAGTTTTGTATGTCTGCAGACTTGCTTAGTATCCTTTCCAGTCCTGAGTCTAAGCTGTTTCTGAAGATGCTGGAAAAACAACAGGCCAAGGATACCTGTAGAACCACTAGTGCCAGGTCCCCAGTAGGATGCCAGTCCATTCCCTGTAACCATTTGTGCCCAACCCATGAACCAGTTGCTCACCCATTGCATGATGTGTTTATCCAGTTGTGTGCTGGACATTTTGTCCAGAAGGATCCCATGAGAGACAGTATCCAAAGCTTTACTGAAATGTACTGTACTGAACTTGGTATTAACAGAGTTATTTGATTCACTGCTCATGCCATGATAAAACAATCCTGTTGAGGATCAGTCCAAGTACAACACTTCTTGAAGACCCAAAGACATTCTGGAAGTGTGTTAGTGTGGGAGAAGGTTTTATTGCTCAACCCTCACTCTCCCAAAAAGATTATATTCAACCCAATTTTGTAACTACTTAGTTCAACCTCTATGCAATAAGTTAATCTAAATCCATTATGTGCAACATCTTGCAGTCCAGTTGCTCTCCTTTAAGAACTGAAGCTATGCCAAATGAGAAGATGCAT